GTTTTTCTTCTTTTCGAAAATTTGTGTTAATTAAAAATACTCATTAATATGACCTGAAAAAAAATTAATTTTTTGCTTTTAACTCTGGGGTGCGGTATGGCATTTCAAAATCTCAAGGGGTGCCAGCATTGAAAAAGGTTGGGAACCACTGTTCTAGGGTATCGCAGCTGGGGTGCCAGAGATACTGCCAAATGTCAAGCCTAGAGATACAACACTCAAAATTCTTGTCTTAGATGGTTGGGTACATCATGATAAATAAGATGAACCAACTAATGGAGCCAGTTAATCACTGTAGCAGGAGCTAATTCTAAAGAGCTAGACTCATCATTAGGTATTGATAACCTATGTCCACACCTTGGAAAGGATTATGTGTGAGAAAGGTAACAACAGATAGCTCAGACAGAACATTTACTTTCAAATGTGCTTTACCTGGTGAGTGCTTGCAATTTCTAGACACTCTTACAGCTCTATTAAATTGTAAAGTGGTTAGTAAAGTATTTAAAAAAAATCCCTCAAAAAGCTGCTACTTCTACATTTTCTCTCTCATCACCCATGGGCCATGAATAAAGCTATGATTTTTAGCCACCTAATGAGACTTTCATATATTTGTAACAATCCTGGTGATTTAATAGAGGTGAGGGTAGATCTCCAGGAGATTTTAAAATTGAATGGTTATCCAGAAAACTGGTTAACAAAATTGTCACCATTCATGACAAATCAATAAAAAAAGAACAGAAGTCAGGAAAAAAATGTTGCATTTCTAATACTGTTTATTAGTCCTAGGATTAATAATATCATTTAGAATGGTGTGAGGGAATTTGGTTTGCCAATACATGTGATAGAAAAGCCTGAACCTTCTCTTAACTTGCATATTTAATGCATTCACCATTCAAACCCCGTGATTATTGTCAGAAGAACAACTATATCATATGTAATTTAGGACTTCTGAAGGAATGTATGGACTAGGGTTTAGTTTACACTATCTCTTGTGGTACATGTAATGAAAAATATATTAAAAACTAAAAGACCTATAAAAGAGCTTTGTATAGAATATCTTCATCTACGATGATGGGTGAGTTTGACAGAAGTGTATTTTATTAATGACCATGGTGTGCCTAAATTTGATTACCCTTTTAGGAATGAAATAGAAAGAAAATACCATGGTTTTCTGGACAGCAAGTGCAAGGAGTCCCTTCTCATCATAACTGAGAAGCCTTTTATTAACAGGGATAAAGGGTTGGCACTTTAAGTGGTGGGTTTATGTAGATGTACTTTGAACGTTTTAACACCTTCTAATTTATTTCTTGTGTAATAATGTATATCAGTGGTTTTAGCTACATTCGCTATTTACATGTACATATTTATTAGGCTCGAATGTTCATATCAGTCATCTTTTGTTTTTGATTTTAAATGAATATTGTTTTACCATTATTATATTCTTGTCGTACATTTATTACTGTTACTTTTTTATTGTTGATAACATGATTGCATGCCAGATTATATATGATATTACATTGTTGTTATTTTAGATTACATCACCTGTTTTGTTCTGTTAACCCTAAGGTGATGGGTTCCCTTTTCTTTGCATATCACAAGGTTTTACTGAGTTACATTCAAAACTTAATTAAGCAACTTTACTATCAATGTATGTCATTGAAATTGGCATTATAATGTACATTATAATTCAAAGTTTTATATTATCTAAGTTTTAATTCCTTTATTTCAAAAGAAATCTATAAAGAAATTCTTAAATTTCATTTTTATTGTCACATGACACACAATCATTCATAAGTCTTAACTTGGTTTCTGTAACTTGAATACTTCTACACATACACTGTACTTTTATGTATAGAAAGAAATTAGGTTTAAGTTACAATTATTTTATAATTGGCACCCAGTATTCATTACAAGTACATCAAACTGCTCTTGGCATTGTTTCATTTGTCCTTGCTAGCACTTAGCATTATTTCTCACTTAGATACATGTTAGGTAGATAGACAGTTAAATTGTATTTAGGTTTTACTTTTGTATTTTAGTTAATTATGTGATATTCATTATGCCCCCCCCCCCCATCTCCTTCATGACCTATTTTCTTTTCATCCCTACACTGCAAACCTCATAGTAGTTTTGGGGATCTATTATTTCTACTTTTCGGTACTTTGGCCAGGGTTTCATCTTCTGCTTTGTTACTTCTTACTTGGTTCTTAAGTTGTTGGGACCTTCTGGAAAGTGATGATTTTTTTCTCTGTTGTTCATCTACCACATTTCTACTTCCATGACCTCCATATGGTTAATTTTCAGTGCCATCCCTCACAGAAATTTTGTGGCCCATTTTTATGCTTCCACACCAGTCTAATAGAACAGGTTCTAGTTTCCAGGGCAACTAGGTATTCTTAATGACAAGAATTATTCCTTTGAGTGTGATTTTCCTTATACAGTAATTGATAAGTCCATGTTAATTATCATATACAGCTAACATATGCCTGTTTCTCGCCATTTTTTCTCAAATGCAGGTACAGCCCCTCGTATATAGTTGGGACTACATTCTGTTTTTTTATTTCTCATACTTGACTCCACTAGCTATCAACTGATATTGGTGAAGGGCTTCATAATCCATAGTGTGTCACATCCTCTGGTTCCCTCCTCTCTTTCAGTGTAGGTATTTAAGCAGACTGTTTTACATAACAAATACAAAAGAAATTTGGCTTTGGGCTAAAAGTTAGAGCTTAAGTAGTCCTCTGATGCATTCTCAAATTGCACAAATAAGTCACATGGTACCTCAGATAGTGGAGAACTGTAAGTAGATATGACGTAATTATTGTTCTGTGTCAAGAACTTTAGGTCACAAGACTTTAACAGATAGAGTTATACTCAACAAAAGGCAAACTATACTTCATAGGTAACTAACTACCTGAAAGTATTAATTTTAAGTTTAAAATGTAAAAGTGAATTGATTTTTTTCTAAAATAACTTACATAAATGTTTACAAGTTTTTAATATTTGAGGTTCTGTTCTCTCAAGCATTGTGTGTAAGTGTAACTTCTAGATATGTTTTTTTAACAACATAATACAAAAGAAAACAAAAATAAACTCCTTAGAAGAAAAATTTTCTTGGCTGTTGTTTGCAATGAGTTTTAGAGAAAATAATGAGATTTATTTTGGAAGGTTCATGAAGTGAACCTTGTGCTAACAAATTAAAATGTCTTATAATTTTATAGTTGTAGTATTATTATTGGTGCCTAATATGGATGGTTTCCTACATATTTCAATGACTTATGCAATGAACTTGACACACAATATAATTTGCTATATTGTCTTGAATCCCAGAAAAAGTGAAATAGTTGTATATTTGGTTGCAGTTTTACTGCATTATAGATAAGCTCTCACCAGTTAAAGTAGAAAAATGATTACTGAAGCAAGATTATAACAGAAAACGTTATTGCCGTTGCTTCATCAATCAAAATGGTATAATGTAATCATTAATGATATTTGGATTCAAAAATATGCACTGTGGTCATCTTCTTTGTATCAAATTGTTATAACTATAATTAACTGTCAAGTAGAATACTTAAAGCAGTATTCTTTAAACCAAAATTATATGGATGTTAACATAATACTTACATTTAATACAGTGAAATAAAATTATAATTTGTAAAACAAAGTTGAAAATTTTGTGTAAAGCTTATTAGATCTCAAGTAAATAACTTATTTTTCAAACTAGAAAGATTGGTAAATACTAGAGAAAAATGTTTTAGACTGTTTGCCACGGAAGAAGAAAAGTCCGCCTTTCGAAAGCACTCAGGTTATAGTTGTTTTTTTAAATTTCTATTTAGACATGTAATAAAGGTATGTTAACAGACATCAATTTGAGTATGTGTATACATGCTTTAAGAAATATGTTTTTAATTGGTAATTATAAGTAAAATATCATTGTCATTGTTATTTTCTAACTGACATGAAATGTAAAACTGATATTAATATAATAGGCAAAAGGTATATGTTGATATATCAATAAAGCCCTAATTCAAAATTTTATTTAATGCAAAGTGTGAACGAGATTTGTAAATCATTACTAGTTAAACAAATATTTTATTTTGCTTTGGTATATATAAATATATATATATTTATATTATTAGCATTAGTGTAAAAAAATATAATTTGTCTACTTTGAAATTTTTATGATCTTATGATGTTATTTTTTCTTCACTGATCAGTTGGCTCCATACATACCTTTTTGGTAGACTGATTACTGATAGTTTCAGAGGTTATTGATGTAATTTACTGATTTTTTTAAGTTATGTTGTTATTAATAAGTATTAGTTTTTGTGTGCAACCATTTTATTGTTGAATAGCATATAAGTTTATTATATTTATGGGTGTAGTTGAAGTCGTTACTAACAGTTATTTTTTATATATTTACATATTAGGTGATGAAGAAGTTCAATGTTAAGAAGATTATTTTCTCCAGCTCAGCTACAGTATATGGCGTTCCTCAGTATCTTCCACTAGATGAAAAACATCCAGTAGGAACAAACTGTACCAATCCGTATGGTAGAACCAAGTATTTTATTGAAGAAGTTTTGAGAGACATTTCTGTTGCTGAAAAGGTATCTTTATAAAATAAATATATGTAAATATACACATTTAGTTGCTTTAGTGACAACTAGTTTTTTTTTTTTTGTCTGTAATTATTCATGTAATCTAATCAGGTTCCAGGTTTTTCTAATAGTTAGGATTGTGCTATTATATATATATATATATAAAACTGTTCATTAATTCAGCTCATTGCTTTTTTTCCAGAAATTTAGGATTTCTAAAATACTTAATAATCACCTAGTTTTGGTCAGTTAAGTTTAATGAACACATAAGATGGCATATAATAGAAACTAAATGAGTGCAATTTGGGGTCTAAGTGTATGGCATAATCATAGTTATGCAATTACAGGGACTTTCCTACTGCAAAACATTCAAGTTTTTCTTTATTTTTTAATCAATTATGCATGTAATAGATATATTCTGTTGACTTGTGTTGAATATGAAGTATTAGCATATAGCCCGTCAAAAATGATGGGGCAAGTACTACCACCCCCACCCCATAGTATACCCTAATGTCACGTTTCATAACTAAATAAATAAATTTCATAAATAAATTTTACGAAATCAAACTTGACTAACAAAGAGGCATAAAAGTGCAGTTGAGGCAGTCAAACATTGGTAAATTTCTTTGTGAGCCAATTAAGATCATTCATGAAATGAATTTGTGGTGTATTCATTGAATAATTATTGGTAAAAATCTGTTAGATTAACGACTTCTAATATATAGAAAAGTCAGTGTGTTTTGGTAACACTACATTTGAACAATGGCTTTTATATGTCATGCTGCTTAGCAATAAAAGTATAACCTAATATTGTTGCTAGTCTATGTATTGAAATTATAAAATGAAAGGTGTAGACAACAAAACTGGAAAAATATTTGTTGATTTCTCAATTTAGTCTCCGTTGATTAAAGTGGTTTGTTTTTTATTAAAAACATTGGTGATATATCAAAAAATAGCTTAATTCAGAAATGATTTAAGTTCAAAATTGAATCGATATTTTTACTTTTGGAATAAATTTTGTGCACTTGGCTCTGGGCTAGGTGATCCCACACTATGTGGCCTGGCATGGCTGGGTGGTTAGGTCGCTTGACTTGCAATCTGAGGGTCGCGGGTTTGAATCCCCACCCAATCAAACATGCTTGCTCTTTCAGCCATGGGAGTGTTATAATGTGTGATGGTCAATTCCACTGTTTGTTGGTAAAATAGTAGCCCAAGAGTTGGCAGTGGGTAGTGATGACTAGCTGCCTTTCCTCTAGGGACAGCTAGTTCAGATAGCCCTCCTGTAGCTTTGCGTAAAATTCAAAAAACAAACAAACAAACCCACAGTACATTTTTACTTTAGGTTTATTATACCAACATTCACTACATTTATAAGGTTTCATGCCATCCTCATTACTAAAATCGTAATGGACAGACAATGATCAAACTATTCTATCTGGATAAATTCATTTTGGCTTTTATGACTCCTATTTTGAGAAATCAAGTGTGATGTGACACACACTTGATTTTATATAGGTTAGATTTAATCATTTGTTTCTCAGTCATAGTGGCATTCAGATGAGTTTTTGTGTGTGATACTGTTGTACAAATTTGTGACTTTGTATCGTAATTTGTGATAAGAAATTTTTTTAATGATACTGGATCACAAAAATTTGGTATTACACAACTTACTATGAAAAAAATTTAATTTCTATCTGATTATTATTATTCTAAACTGACAAGGCTTACAAATCATAGCTATCCAGATGCATAGAATCATGGTAAATCATACTCCTAAGATTATATTCAGAAGCTCTAAGGTGTGAGTGTGACTGCACACCTCATTAGCAAAGGACTGTTTGTGTTTGTGGTATTACAAGTTCAAATGGCTGATGAATGGAACAGTGAAAATAAGTTCTTTATTTAATTTGAGACTATGATGAGTTACAGCAGTAAAGGTAGTTGTGTTTACAATGTAAAATAAGAGAGTAATCTAGCATTTAAATGAGTCAAACTGTTTAAAAATGATAAGTATGAAGACTTGTATGATAAACTGATCTTTTATACATTGGTATATTGTAATAAATAGAGAATCATGACCATTAAAAAGTGATTGAAAACTTAGAATATTGCTGTGTGAACATTGTATACCCAGACAAGTCCTTACATAATGTAAGGTATATATATACACCTGGAAAAAAGTTAAGCACCCCCGTGTTTTTTTCAAGTGATTCAGATTCGACGTTCTTGTAACTGATTATAAATTACCATTCAATCTAAACGTGTTTATCAAATGAAATTATGCATTATTGGGCACAAGAGAACAAGATTATCACCGTAAAATAACAATTTTTAATTTACATATCATGACATCAAAATATCGACAGTTTTCACGGTTAAAATTATCTTTAATAAGTATTGTCAGT